GTCCAATCTGAGGAAAAACCTCTTTCTGGTGAGGGTGCCAGAGCCCAGGGAGGGTGTGGAGTCCCCTTCTCTGGAGATCTTCAGGACCTGCTTGGATGCAGTCCTGAGTGATGTGCTCTGGGCAATCCTGCTTTAGCAGGGGAGTTGGACCAGATGATCTCTAGAGGTCCCTTCCAACTCTGACAATTTTGTGATTCTGTACTTGATTCACGGATATCAAGTTGAGTATAATGGGAAGACGGTCATCAGAAAGGTAACAAGTTGCCGACAGGTATCTGGCAGGCAATGAAAAGGGAAGTGATGCATCTGCTCCCTTACTTCCCCTTTCACACCTTTTAGATTAACAAAATTTGCATGGGAAGAATAACAGGTGTCTTTTGCCTTAAAATCATATGAAAGAACATATAGCTCCATATATATATATATGGGCTATACCTTAATGCAAACTCTTCTTTCCCATTAATTAGACCCCCGTCGTTAACAATAACTCACCCCACAATTGCAACAAGTAAAAAAACATTATGTTGATAGAAAATACTATTGTCGTTAACACTAACTCACCCCACGATTGCAACAAGTAAAAAAAACATTATGTTGATAGAAAATACTATTGAAATGTTGTGGGTTTTCATATTCTGCAATTCGTAGTTTTATTATACTTGAAAACAACCAACTTGGAAAAGCAACTAATAGTGTCCAGCATTTGTTTTAAGAGCTATATTAAATACAAGCAGCTGCTTGTAACCCACGGAGGATGGGGAAAAGAAAGATGGGAAAGAAGTTAAATTCACCAGGACATGACATGGAATGAAAATACTTTTCCTGGAGTTCCATAATAGTCTTTCTGGAGTAACAAAATTTTAACTTGCATCATCAAGACAAGCAGCAAGAAGTTGTCTGAGTAGACAAGAGGTGCAAGAAATCATGCTAAGCCTGAGAACTAGCCTTTGATGAGGTCTTGTCCCTAAAAGGCACACACAACTTCAATAAATTTTCCAAGTTCTCACTATTGTATGCAAGTGAAGGAAAGTAAGAGGAACATTTTTCTCAGTTCTTGTTTAAATTGATCAAGAACACAAGGCAAAAGTACAACTAAGGCAAAACTTTATTATTATTTTTTGGTAGAAAGAAAAACGAAGCAGTCATAATTAGGCAGTACTTTATAGGTTTCTTCTGCAGCAGAGCCTTCACCAAGCCTCATTAACTGATAGTCTTACTCAGTGCATCTTGTTTTCAAGTAAAGCAAAAATGAGATTACAAGTGGCTATTTAGAATATTTCTTCTGACCATGGCATCCAGATGCCCATTAAACAGTCTTACTCAGTGCATCTTATTTTCAAGTAAAGCAAAAATGAATTACAAGTGGCTATTTAGAATATTTATTCTGACCATGGCATCCAGATGCCCATTAAAGGTGGATAACAGCCACTGCTTTTTACTCGTATCAAAACTTTTTCCAGTTGCTCCCCCACTTATTTGTTTTGCTTTGCACGATGCCAAATATCAGTGGAACTACTGCATTTTTGTCAGTTCCACAACTCAGCTCTTGGGTGCTGGTGCCTAGTACAGAAATTGCTCTCCTAACCCCAATAACATTAAATTTGAATACATTTGAAGGTCAGTACAACATACACATACATTTTCACGCTGCACTTGCCCGTCAGGCAAATGCAATATTACAGTATTAATTTTACTTGCACTTCGGTAAAAGCGGAACTCTATTTGTCTGTAAAGCAAGAGATTTTTGAATGGTATTGCAAATTACACGTACGTGTGTTCCTTCTGCAGTCTCCTACTAGCTATACGTATACACAATTGAAGCAATGAAATGGTTTTTAGCTTGTTCTTTGTACAGGACACTTGCTACATGCCCTAGTAGTCAGTTACCTGAAAAAAAAATACAAAAACCAAACCAAACGAAACTGCATAATAGTGCTTTAATACTCATTTGTTAAAATCCAAAACAGCCTTACGGCAGCTGTTCGGTAGTTACCAGTCTCTTCCAAAGGCATGCAGTAATAAAGAAAAAATTCTATCCTTAAGCAGCATCTGAGAAAACAACTTAATGTAGCTGCCACTTAGTGGCAGCAATCATTTAGGCATTTTTGGTATTGATACATTTCTTTATAATATAATTTGTGCACTAATCAACAAAAATGTAGGCCCTAATCCAGCAAGTACTTGCATGTGTGCAAATGCTTTTCTTCCACGTGGAGTATTTCAAGTTAAGACTCATCAGATGAGCAAAGTTAAGAACTTGCATAAATCTTTACAGGAGGGGAATGCTTAGTGCTTAAAACTTAACTGTATTATTTCATTGGACTAAGATCCAATTCTAGACTTAGAGAGTGTAGGAAACACTCCTATAAAGAACAGATATGTGGCTTTAAGATAAATGGTTTCAAAGCTAACAAGAACCTCCAGAAATGTGTGTGCCTTCTCTCCGACCACTTTAACACTCCTTGGAGTAATGTGGGTCCAGCCTTACTTTCCTAGCTCCTGGCTAGTGCATGAGGAATCAATAAAGTGCTTTTCACGAATTCCGCAGTCGTGGAATGAAGTAAAATTTAAGTACCTTCAGAATGTTTTCAAGATTTATAAACAATGAAGGAAGGGCCGATATCTGATCCCCAGCACATTTCCCTGAATCAGTAACAAGTATTATGTTCTTCATTCTGAAGGTACATTAGAATTCTGCAAAGACTAGGTATATTTCACCTTTGTCCCAGTGAAGTCATCCTCTGCCTCCAGGGGAAAAGCTAAACTGGATTTAATTTCAATGTAAAAGTTCATGCTTGAACCGAAATGTGATGCTCATGCAATTTCACAAGCATCAGCATTCAATGTGACAGTTGGCTTTGCTTAATCAAACACTAAGCACCAGTATTGTTTACAGTATATCCACTCTGAATTGTGTTCATAAGTTGTTCCCAAATGCACCATAATCCTGAGAGGTCTTGCTTGCCCTTTGCCCTTTGATTTGATGTGGTTTTTTTCCTCTTGAATAAAGTATCTTTGATATTAGCTTTGATATAAACTGTATTGATCTTTGTGGCGTATTCTCATTAACATACTTCTGAATATTTAAATTACTAAAACTTTCTCTTTCAATAGATACATAAATATATTTTAATGTTTTTGCTAGCTTTCAGATAATTAATCTATGAGAACTGGCTTAAACTGTATGCTCCTCATACAAAAACAAATAATGGTTTGAAATATTTAGCCATGTGTTTGGATGATTTTTTTTTTTTTTAAAGGCTTCGGTGTTGCTTATATTTATCTTCCAGTCAGCTACAGGATAATAGCAACAGCAAACACATTGACAATGCAGTTCATTGTTCGGTTTTCCCATCTCACTGTGCAGGTTCCTAGAAGAGATTATTGCAAAATAAAAATAGAATTCCAGTGTCTTTACTACATTCACATTATTGCAGTGTAAATTATGTCACATTAGTATGAATAATTCAGCTGTGATTTAAGGTAAGTACTATTCTTTCATCTTGGCTATAAACAGACTACAGTCCTCAAAACGTTTTCATTAACTTGTACATTATTTACTATCTAACGTGAGCCTTCTGTGCTTAAGGCAGTTGCCAAGAAAACACAATTTCAGTATCTCTCTTTAAAAGCTGGGCTTGCAAAAATCCTTGAAAATCTCATACTGAAATTGGCAAGATAATCAGACAAGAAATCAGAAAAAAAGACTGGATCAAATACACTAGAATGTATTTACTTTCTGTCATTTCTGCCCTTCTGTTGTATCAGTGCCTTACAAGCCAAGGAAACATGAAGATTAAACTGCACTCTTTTACTTAACTTCAATTTATGATTTTTTTTTTTAACCTTCGTTGACTTCCTAATGCCTGCTCTATTTTAAAGTTAAATCTTGGTGCCCTATTCTAAAAAGACTGTTCTGAGTCTGTGACAGACATAAAATTATTTTGGTTCCCCACGGTACTCCAAACCTGGGGAAAAAAAATGCATTTAGAACTAAATTAGAAGCAATAAAATGCACCCAAATCTGGCTGATAGTTAAGCAACTGAAAGATATACTGTTAGTCAAACTATTTCTGTTTTTCACCAAGTCTGTTCTCCTCCAAAGTAGCACTGTCCCCATTCAGCAGACAGGCAGATGTGTTCAGGACAACCCACCTGCATTTACTGCGAGCAGTATCTTCAACTGATCTATGGTTACTGATGAGGATTAAATGTTTTGACTCCTGTTTCAGAAAGAAGGCATTTCTACTGCTGCTTTTCATAATTCACAAAGCAATCACTCTTAATGCAGGCACTGATTGCTAACAAAATATTTCTTCTGGGATTGTAAACAAGCATCTAATCCTGGAAGCTACCGCTTCTTAATCTCTCTTGAAAATGTTCAACGTCACTAATAAAACTAAGTAATAAGTAACATTTGTCTTACCACAAATTTTTAATTTGAGTGAGGAAACTTACCATCAGTTGTGGTATCCCAGAAGCATGAGCTTGCTGTGTGAAGACCAGCTCCACTCCTCTGCATCACTGCACAGGTTACTGCCAGAGACAGTCATAAAAGCAAGGAATTCATTATTAAAGCAGAAGAGGTGAATCATTCAGTACTTCTGAACTCAAGCCTGCATTACGTTTTCAAATGGCTGGCAGGTATAAATCAGCTAAGTCAAAACCTTTTTTGACAACCCCCTCACTCCCCAGTATTTTCCTCAAGAACTTGGTACTCATTTCATGATTATTTTTACTCCTGTGAAGACAACGGCTTTAACAAAATGCTTGCTAATAGGATTATGGTTTTTATCTATTAAACTACTTAGATATGGCTTGTGTCACGTGCACCTCAGAACGGGATTGCAGGTGCTGTCCTCACAGCTACAGCAGAAGTCGTGCTTGATGAGACTTGTTTCCCAAGAGTACTGGTTGACTGCTCTCTGAAACCACACTCTAGTAACATGCAGCATTTCTAGACTGACCTGCAATGGTCATAAAACTGGTGATAATCTGAATCCAAGACTTTCAAAACAAAACAGAGTGCAAACATTTGCTATTACATCAGCACTCCACAAAGGACCCAAGTGAATTATGCTTCTACTTATTTCCACTTCCCTTCCACAGACATCACAGAATGGTAAAGGTTGGAAGGGACCTTCAGAGATCATCTAGTCCAACCCCCCTGCCAATGCAGGTTCACCTACAGCACGTTGGCTATACATATAACAGGACACAACTTAGCATAGAGGACTAAAGTCTTTCAAGTGTCTGTGTTTATAGGAAGCTTAACCCTACTGAAAATTTTATTTAAGATATGCAATTATTTCCTGAACCAATACCAAAAAGTTCATATAATTGTTTTGGAGCTGCTTAACAGTCTGGAAAGACTGTGTAATATCTTCTGTGCTAAGTGTTGCTAGCATGATTAGCCCAGGCAAAACTCCCATGGTTTTACCACAGGTATTACTAAAAATGTATGTAACAATACCTGCTCTGCTTTGTTTAGAGTTTAAAACTTCCTATTGAATATAGTACTGCATTCAAATGAACCTTTCAGCAGTTATTCATTGTGATGGTATGGGGTAAAAGTATGACTGCTTGTACTTACCTATGTACTTATATGTTTTTCCAAGTTTTACCAGATGTGTCAGCGACTGTTCTACTATAGCAGCAGTCCACTGGTTGACTTTGTTGTGATTATAATCTGCCTTGCCTAAAACACTTTCTATGCACTAAAATAGAGGGAAAAAAAATAGTTACAGTAAACATACTTCAAAATGTAGAGGCTTAAAATGTCTTGTATAATCTGAGGAATTTTCTCTGGCAATTGGATTACTTTAAATCCCTTGAGCTCATCAGGTATCAGTTGCTGAATGGGAAGCAAAATGAGCCTTCTTGGAAACTTATTTTTTTGTATGTATTTACATTATTACATGGTGAAAAATGAGGCTCTGACTAAACGTTCCTTGGAGGACAGACTTTAACTTGGTACTTAGCGCATATGTCTAAGTGAATGGATCTATTTACCAGTGAAGATACTAACACATCCCACTGTTCCTAATGACTGCCTACTCCAGCTTGGCTTTCAGAAGCTACTGTAATGGAAATGGTACTGCTCAAACCAATAATCTCAGTTTGGACTGGCCAACCTTTCAGAGCTTGCAAGCAATATACCAAAATCTTCAGAGCTAGAGAGTGAAATGCATATCCCAGCTTAAAAAGTGAGGAAGATATGAGAGTGAGAGATACTCAAGGGTGATATCTTGCAGCACAAGAAATATCTGAACTGCCTGAAAATTGCATGTTCTCCCACAGGTACAGACTGGTCAACCCTTGCTTAAACTTCAAATGATTGAACAGAAAGCCTTCCAACTGTAACTCTCAAACTGCATTCTCTGCTCCTAAGAAATTCAGAATTATGTGCTCATAGGTACTTCTAAAAATTGAGGAATTTGGTTAGGAGATGCACACCCAGAAAAGGTAAGTAAAATAAAACCATATTCTCCTCTGGTTCAGTGAGATGAATCCTGCGTACTAACCACCCACTGACAGACTGTGTAAGAGACTTGTGCCCCAGATCTTAAAAAGCCCAATGAGTTCTGATCATGGTGTATAAAGCTGGACAAAGGACTCATTGAAAACAAGCATTCACAAAACAGAATAGAAGACAGAAGAGGGACAAGATTCCTCAGGGATTTTGGTCCTTCCAGAAATGTATCCAGTGCTAGAGCTCCTCGGCTCTGATTAAGCTTTCAATCAGAGGCAGAAACACTTGGCTTTGCTCCCAGTGACAGGAGACTGTGTCATACCGTATTTGGCCTTTCAAGGCAGGGACAGTTATATAAAGGGTTGAATTGTCATTTATCTAACATCCAAGAGCTTGCTGTTGTGTACTGGAGGATTTCTGAAAGGGCAGCCCTTTCCCTTCCTGATAGGGCAGGTGGGAAAGGACCTGCAGAGCCCCTCTAGGAACTCCTTTCTCAAAATGGTATTTCCCTGCAAAACCTGACAGCATCTGTATGTGTCAGGTTTTGACACATAGGCTCTGCATCAATCACTTTCCATTTACTGCGTATTTAATTTAGACCATCAGGCTGCTCACTTTCAGCCTGCTTTTTGTGCAAGAATTGTTTTTCAAAAGCATCACTAGAATAATGAGCTCATGTAGTGCAACCTCCTGCTCAATCCAAGGCTAACTTCCCAGTCTGATCATGTTGCTCAAGGTCTTGTCAAGTTTTAAAAATCTCTAAGGCTGGAGCCTCCACAAGCTCTCCCTATCACCTTTCTACTGATTAACTACCCTCTAGCTGGATAAAGGGGAAAAAAAATAAAATTAGAGTGAATTGCCCTCGCAATTTGTGACTGCTGCTCCCCAGTGGAAAGACCACTGTGATGTGAATTCTGGCTCCCTCGTCTCTCATTTACCTTCTCCTTTTTAGGTAGTTGAAGACAGCAATTAGATGAAGCTTAAAGAAGTTCTAAATGAAACTCTGTCTTTCTTTGATATAAATAATACTTTCATAGAAGACTGAGTTGAGCATCTGGGATGGTCAATGAAAGTAACTGCTTTCACCATACTGCAAGGTAAGGTAAAGAATTTATTTGAAATAAATCTGTTATCAAAACCTACCTCCTTAACTATGTTGTGGGCCTCATCAGCATTGAAGATCATCTGTAATAAAAATTATTATTATTTTTGATAGAAAAGTAAACAAATGATGCTATTCTACTGTAAGTACCATGTAATGATCAGGCCCCGTCTGTGGTTATTTACATTGTGTAGTCTGTTAGTGTAATTCTAAAATCTTGAATTTTTTCCCCCAGCACCATACATATGTTATTTAGTATCATTTTGCTAGTTCCATTTGAGCGGGTCCAAAAGCTCAGGCCTCAGTGAGCTTGGAAATAGGTTCAATTTACACTTTCGATAAAGATTAAATGCCACTGTTGTCATGGGGAGACAAAAAGTTAAATGGCAAATCTTTTCCTCTGAGTGTCAATCCTGATTTTTCCTGGAGTCACAGACTTACTAACCTGCAACATTTTGCTGCCAAAAGGGTAACGCAAGGTTTTGCGACCCTAGTGTCAAAAAGACTGGTTTCCATAGTCATCCGCTTGCCCAAGTAACTTTCTCGAGCGCAGGAAAAGCTTGCCAGCTTTAATGCCTCCCATCTTCTGCTTGTTCCTACTCGCCAGCCTTTAGCTTGGCTTCTTCCAAAGGCGACACAGCACGTCTGTGCCCCCGTGCCATCTGCCTCTTCGTACCCATCGATTTCAAACACACGGCAAGGTTTTGCGACCCTAGTGTCAAAAAGACTGGTTTCCATAGTCATCCGCTTGCCCAAGTAACTTTCTCGAGCGCAGGAAAAGCTTGCCAGCTTTAATGCCTCCCATCTTCTGCTCGTTCCTACTCGCCAGCGTTTAGCTTGGCTTCTTCCAAAGGCGACACAGCACGTCTGTGCCCCCGTGCCATCTGCCTCTTCGTACCCATCGATTTCAAACACATGGGCGAGGACAGAAACCTCACGGGCAAGAATGCTGCTACGAGACTGTGTTTTGTTGGCTGTTTTTGGTTTTTTTTTAATGAAAACTGGTGGCTGGAGACCCGAAGTGAGGCCCCTGCCGGGGAAGGGGAGGCTCCCCAGCTCTGGAGCAGGCGGAGCGGGCCCGGCACTTGTTGGGTTTTTTCCAAGGCTGACACAGGAAGGAAACATGGCCGCGGACTGACAGCACCACCCCGAAACACCGCTCCCACCGCCCCCTGAGGGGCTGGAAGCCCCCAGAACCCAAGCGGGCCGGTAACCACCGGAGCCCGGGGCAGGCCCAGGGCAGCGCCAAGCCCTCAGGAGGCCCCGCTCCACCCCGAGTCGGGCCGGGGCTGCCCGAAGGCCGGGGTCCGAGGGGTCCCGCCGCACAGCCCGTCCCCACAGCTACAGCCTCACACCTGCCCGCCCCGGCCCTGCCTGGCTCAGCGCTGCCCACCCGCCCCCGGGCTCTCGGCGGCTCCCTGCGGCGCGGGGCCCGGGGCAGCCCGGCGGAGAGACCCGCGCCCCGCCCGGGCACAGCCCGCAGCCCCCTGCCCCGCCGGAGGGCGGCAGCCCCTACCTCATCGTTGTGGGGGTGAAAGTCCTCCATGGTCCCGGCGGAGGCGGCGGCTCTTCCGGCAGCGGCGGCGGTGGCGAGTCCTGTGCGGCTCCGCCTCCGCCGGGCCCAGCCGGGCGGGGCCTCCTGCGGCAGCGGGGCCGGGGCGGAGGGCAGGGGAGGCCGGATCGTCCCGGGCCGGCCGGTACCTGGCGGTGGCCGTGCCGAGCCGGGCAGGACGGGAGTGAATGTGGGCCTCGCAGTGCAGCCAGGCCGGCCCTCACCACCCCCAGGCGCTCGGGATGGCGGGGCCGCTCCGCCGCCGCCCGCGGGGGCTGTGGGGGGGTGGCGGTGCTTCTGGGCCCAGCGCCTGCACCAGCCGTGGGCAGTGCCCAGGCCGCCCTGCAGCCGGCATTGCGGGCTGGTTTGCTGTCCCGCCTCAAAGCGGTGAGGTGTGTGTTGGTCACTTTATTGCCGGAGATCTGCCCTTGGCTGGGCGCACGCAACTTGCTTAAAGATCATCGAGTTCCAACCCCCCTGCCATGGGCAGGGACACCTCCCACCAGAGCAGGTTGCTCAAGGCCCCATCCAGCCCGGCCTTGAACACCTCCAGGGATGGGGCATCCACAGCTTCTCTGGGCAACCTGTTCCAGTGCCTCACCACCCTCACAGGAAAGAATTTGTTCCTAATATCTCATCTAAGTCTCCCGTCTTTCAGTTTAAAACCCTTACCCCTCATCCTTATCATAATGAACTACTCCTGAGTTTTATTCGACTCAAAACATATATATATATATATATGTATATATATAAATACATCAGATCTTTTCTCTCTCTCTGAAGTTGCCTGGGAAACAGGAAAGATACCTAGTACAAAACAACGCAGAATTTTCAATTGCTGGGTTGTTTTGGTTTTTTTTTTTACTTATTTTTACTAATACTTTGAGGGAAGGTCTTGTGTAGATTTACCCTCTTTCTAAACCAGCCTGAACATGAGAGTGGACCAAGGCTGCCCTCAGTTCTAATTTCAGTTTTGGTGGCATCTATTCAAACAGATACATGCTTACCTTACAAAAGGGTCTTTTGCTCAGTGTTAATTGTACATTCGTCGGAAAAAACATGAAAACCACAGAAGCACAGGGGGAAGCAGAGGTAAATATTTTTATATTGCCTTGCTCTCCCAACTATCTTTCATGTTTAATATTTGCTAATGGCTATAGTAGGAGAAGCCTGAACATGAAGACTAAATCTCTTTAAAAGCATATCTTTATGAAGAAGCACAAATGGATGTGGTCATAGGAAAACACATGAAACAAAATCTCACTTAGAATAAAGTTTCTTGTGTTGTGACCTCTGTAGTATTTTTGCGGGCTAAGCTGGGGATAAAATTGCGTGTTAATTTTTAAAGAAATAAAAGCTAGTGGAAGCATGTGTTGTACATGCATTGGCATCTTGTAGTCAAAGCTAAGAGTGCTAAAATAATTTACCTTTGGATCCTGTGCATTTTTTATTCTCTGTATTTTCCGATCATGTGTCTTTACATCTGTATCTTTGGGTGCAGTATACTATCAAATGAAAATCGTTTCTAGACTATTTTTCGGTTCTCTTTAGAAATACTCAAAGTGCATTCTTTAAAATATTCACACCAATTACCTCAGTGAATTCCATGTAAAATAGAGAGGGTTCCTGAAAGACAGATGAAAGTGTGTATGTGGATGTCCTAATGCAAAGGAATTACCTATCCTTCTTCCCTTACTACCCTTTACAGCAGGAGATCTGAGGAATTTCTCAGTCCATCAGGCTCACCTCAACATCCAGAGAGCCATTAGAAAAATAACAAAATGACAAAACAATATTTTTCCAGGAAGTGTTTACAAATAAACACCCAGCATTGCCCATGAACAGCCAACACAGATTTGTCACGAGTATGTGTCAAATAATCAGATTTTAGTCTTTGGAAGTACAGCTGGTTTAATGGATGAAGAGGAAATAAACAGCAGGTGTGTTATTTTTAGATTTACCCTCTTTCTAAACCAGCCTGAACATGAGAGTGGACCAAGGCTGCCCTCAGTTCTAGTTTCAGTTTTGGTGGCATCTATTCAAACAGATACATGCTTACCTTACAAAAGGGTCTTTTGCTCAGTGTTAATTGTACATTTGTCGGAAAAAACATGAAAACCACAGAAGCACAGGGGGAAGCAGAGGTAAATATTTTTATATTGCCTTGCTCTCCCAACTATCTTTCATGTTTAATATTTGCTAATGGCTATAGTAGGAGAAGCCTGAACATGAAGACTAAATCTCTTTAAAAGCATATCTTTATGAAGAAGCACAAATGGATGTGGTCATAGGAAAACACATGAAACAAAATCTCACTTAGAATAAAGTTTCTTGTGTTGTGACCTCTGTAGTATTTTTGCGGGCTAAGCTGGGGATAAAATTGCGTGTTAATTTTTAAAGAAATAAAAGCTAGTGGAAGCATGTGTTGTACATGCATTGGCATCTTGTAGTCAAAGCTAAGAGTGCTAAAATAATTTACCTTTGGATCCTGTGCATTTTTTATTCTCTGTATTTTCCGATCATGTGTCTTTACATCTGTATCTTTGGGTGCAGTATACTATCAAATGAAAATCGTTTCTAGACTATTTTTCGGTTCTCTTTAGAAATACTCAAAGTGCATTCTTTAAAATATTCACACCAATTACCTCAGTGAATTCCATGTAAAATAGAGAGGGTTCCTGAAAGACAGATGAAAGTGTGTATGTGGATGTCCTAATGCAAAGGAATTACCTATCCTTCTTCCCTTACTACCCTTTACAGCAGGAGATCTGAGGAATTTCTCAGTCCATCAGGCTCACCTCAACATCCAGAGAGCCATTAGAAAAATAACAAAATGACAAAACAATATTTATCCAGGAAGTGTTTACAAATAAACACCCAGCATTGCCCATGAACAGCCAACACAGATTTGTCACGAGTATGTGTCAAATAATCAGATTTTAGTCTTTGGAAGTACAGCTGGTTTAATGGATGAAGAGGAAATAAACAGCAGGTGTGTTATTTTGTAGTAAATTTGTCTTTGTATGCTCTCCCACATAAGAATATATCATCTAGGGGAAAAAGTAACCAATCATTCCTAATAACAGGTTATCAAAGTAGGAGGAATAAATGCAAGAAGATGGGTGGGGCTTTGCCCCAAGGGCTAATCAGTATTAGTCGCAATAACTGGAATCATGGAATAAAAATGTTGCTTATAAAAGCTTTTTAATGACAGCATGTTGAAAGAAGTTACAAGCACATGGAATGACAGGATCAAAATGAAAAATATTGGATAGGTTGGACAAAGCAAAAAGAAGAAATTTCATAAAAATATAAAGTATACTATGTGTAAAACCAGGACATCAAACGTACAAACACAAAATGGGGACTAATTGCCTAGGAAGTAGTGCTGCAGAAAAACATATGGAATTACAAGAAATAGGAGCCCAAGTATGATGTTATAAATAACTAAATGCATCAAAGAATACCATGAAGGGCACCGAAGGCAATTATGTTGTTCTGCTTGGTGTTGGTCAGGCATCAAATGTAATTCTCAGCCCAGTGTGATGGTGCAACAGAGGCAGAAAAGTAATTCTTCCTGAAAGCAGCAAGGCTGAAAGGAAGCTTAGAAAATATGATTTGTGGAGGAACTGCGTTTGTTTTATATCCCTTGCCCAGTCTTCCTTTTAAATGTCTGACTGCATAGCAATTTACTGAAAAAAGTGATTAATGAGACAATGTATGATAAAAGGTAGGACAAGAAATAATGGCTTTAATTTGAACTCAGGGAGATTTATGTTAAATATTACGGAAAAAAAGTCCAAGACTAATAAAGCACCGAAGCAGACCTGGTTTGGGAATCACCTTTGCTGGATCAATAACACATTAAATAACATCTGCCAGGCGTCTAGTTAACCTTTAGAGAAGAGGAGGTATTAAATCATCTTTTGAGATAGTTTTAGACTTAGATTTATTCAACCTCCACAACTATTGCGTGGTTCCTTTCCTTTCCTTCCTAACAGATTAACTTTTTATCTAATTTCAATAACCAAAATCTCCATTATTTTGAGAATGACTAATGCTATTACTGATTTCACAAGAGCAATGCTAAATTGTAACAGCAAGCCAGTACACTTCTTTTCAAGGGGAGTTACCTGATAATATTCCCTCATTCTTTATTACACTACTGCAAATTGTAAACTGGAAAATGCAAATCGGTTGGCAGTATAATTAGTTCTGTGAACTGTAATAGGAAATGTGAAAAGTGAAAGACGTGGCTCAGAAATACAACCCTAAATTTGAAAGAGCTGTAGGCTTTCATCTTTCAAATGCAGAACAGGGGCTCTTAAAAAGACAGAATAAACAGGGTAGCTCAAATAATTTGTTGATTAAAAAGCAAATATTTGAAGAGGATTTGGCATATTGGAGAGGTGGCAGATCTTCCGCTGCTTGAGCACAGCCAGTAATAAATGTGAATACTAATGCAGCTAAAATAGTATGTCTCCTGTCTCAATTTTCCCTTTAGGTTGTTGTAAACATTTTAAACCTTCACATCTACCTTGAACTGTTGAATACAAAATCAGTAGAATTCTGGTATTTAATTTGTCTGGCTTAATTCCTAAGCTACTCGTGGCTGGATGCCAGAGGGAGGATTGGCGTGTGTTGCTCTTGTTCATGCTCCCTTCCTGCACACACACTGCTCGGTTCCACAGGGCCCCCTACCATAAAAAAGACATTGAGGTGCTGGAGCAGGTCCAGAGAAGGGCGACAAAGCTGGTGAGGGGTCTGGAGAATAAGTCTTATGAGGAGAGGCTGAGGGAACTGGGGTTATTCAGCCTGGAGAAGAGGAGGCTGAGGGGAGACCTTATTGCTCTCTACAACTACCTGAAAGGAGGGTGTAGAGAGATGGGGGTCGGTCTCTTTTCTCAAGTCACAGGCGACAGGACAAGAGGAAATGGCCTCAAGTTGCGCCAGGGGAGGTTCAGGCTGGATATTAGGAAAAATTTTTTCACTGAAAGGGTTATCAGACATTGGAATGGGCTGCCCAGGGAGGTGGTTGAGGCACCATCCCTGGAGGTGTTCAAAAGACGGGTTGATGTAGTGCTGGGAGGTATGGTTTAGTGATGATGCTCCTTGTTTGTTGTGTGGG